TTATTATGCAGCTTTTACAATATTTCGCTGCGCCCCTGTAAAGAGGCCGCGGCGCACAGTTTGGGAATCACCGCCTTAACCTATTAATTTAAAAAGACTTTCTTATCTGCCTTTTAACAGCAGACGTATCACAATCAGCAAACCTACTAATTTGAGACAATTTAATCTCATGTCCAGTCTCTGTCATGTGTTCGACCACTGCTGACCGTTGGACCCAGCTTTCTTTACAAGCAATTTTTTGTTCCCCCAATTTTTGCCGAATAGGTCGACATGTCTCACTACATGAGCAAACAATCTTGTAGCAGCCGGATCTCGATAATGGGTCATATTTATCTCTAAAAATGGCATAACAGAAGCAAGTGTGAGGACCGACAGATTATACCTGCAACAGACAATCGGGGCATCCGCCCTTTGACTAACAAACAAGCCGCTTATGCGTAAACGAGCCCAAGTGCTCTTCATTTTGCACACATTCAGAAGAAGGTATCGAGTTACGTGAAGTTGAGGAAATGAGATGCATGCAAGATGGCGCGTCCTAGCCGTGGTCATTCATTCTCGTGCCCGGAGGGCAGGTGAAAAATCTACCGACCAAGCCGTTGTGTTGTCCGGTGGCCAGGAGGACATCGTCTGCTGCTGCGGCACTCTGCTCAAGTGCAAAGAGGTGAGTCGGTAATTTCGAGGTTGCCGTGAGCATAGGGGATGGGGCCAGCAGAAGAGGAAGGTGAGATCCAAGGGCTGACGGAAGGTCCGGGCACTCAGCCAGCAAATAACGCTTGCATGGAAAGAGATACTTTGGACAAAGGAAGCTGTTGACTTCTTGGCTCTCCGGGTGGGCCTGGACATGAATAGATTACGAAACTATCCGTAGACTGGCAGGAGGATTCGAGAACTGATGGTTAAACAGGAGTACTCTTGATACCATTGAAACCGGCTCAGCCGTGCCGTGTTCTGAGCTACAATAAACGTATATTTTGCTATTACAATCAATTACACTACTCATATGCATTATGAGTAGGTTTACATTATATCAGATCTTAAATAGGAGCTGCAATCACCAAACTAAGTCGTTTTATCAGGGCAACCTGATTCGATACATCTTGTCCCAAGTCCTCTGCAATAGTGGTTATCATAATTCCCAACATCGGACTGTGGACTTAGTGCATACCCATACGTTTCGCTGGTATCGTAGTCAGCACCGTTAGTGGGTCTTGCCATTCTGATCACCAAGCTACAACTCGCCAAATACACAAGTATACATCAAAAAGAGACTACGAACAAAAGAGAAGCAACAACTTCTTGGTCTTTGTATCTACGTGCAATCATCAAAGTTGACCGATAATGCGAACAATGGAATTATCCCATATCTAACAATGGCATTGAATCACACTCAGCTTCGTCTCGAAAAAAGATATTTTCAATCAGGCTGAACAGCTGCCTCAAGCTTTCCTGGGCCCCATCACCCTCACTCCGAAACCCGGAGAAGAATACCTTTTAAGGAGCAAGTTTAGTTGAAAGACGATGGAAACATGAGGATTACCCGTGTAATATTAGGAATATTCATCACCATTCCTTTACCCTCCTATGCGACGTCTGATTTAAACTTTTATATAAAGATCATTTGATAGCTTCGAAGGCTATTTCCTATGAATACATGGTAGAATGGCCTGTTTGCGAGGCTAACATTACAATTTACCAGAACGACAGAAAAAAGGCAGCAAGAATAACGACAATCTTCGAGCGGAGAATTGGTGAGGTTTAAGATTCCGGATGCGAAGCCCATTTCGGCCCCAGCCTCCAGCTATTCACCAAATGGAGCTTGATTGTCTCTCGACATGTGAGAAATACAGCCTGTAATAATGCGTTAATAGTGGCGAATTGGAGAAGAGAAAATGAATGCATAAAATATCACGTTTACGTGGGTAGTTCCGGTAATAAAAAGAGCAAAAACGTAGAGTAATGACTCAGGGAAAAGCATAACGAGGATTGCGTAAATCCGAAGATATGCAAACTTAGGATGAGAGGATTTCCAGATATGTAGCACGAACGTAAATTAATTATGCGAAGAAAAGTTGGGTTTTGAGGAATCTCTTGTTCCATAATTGTTAAGCTTACTTCCATCTCGAGTGAAAGTGCTGGGTGAAGAGATGCGAAGGTCGGTTCCACTAGAAGACGACGGCGGATTCCTCTTGACCAGCTGTCGATTGGCTTTAATGGAAGATTCATGCTGACGCTGTTTCCGAGGCAATCTGCGACGTAAAAATGCTAAGCTTTCGTCCGTCATATGACGGACATCATCAGAGCTAGGTAACATCGTCACAACAAAGTTCAAGCTCTTGACTTGTTTTCTTGACTCGTTAGCTTGAATTTTGTTGTGACGATGTTACCTCGCTTTGATGATGTCCATCATATGACGGACGAAAGCTTAGCACCTTTTCACCGGAATCGAAGGAGATTGCCTCGG